GAACCAAAACACACCAAACTGCGCAGCACATGCAAAAGTTATCAAAGTCAATAGCAGGCTAACAGTTAAGCTTGTATAACTGACCCACTGCTCACTTGTTCAATGTTTTCTTTAAATTAAAACGTTTTCCTCACCAAATCTGAAGCCCTTATTACCATCATCTATGGTTGAATTAACTGCTAAACATTGCGTCCGTTGTTCTGATTCTTTGCATGATTGTAGTATTTTCCTGACCACCGATATTCCTGACTCAATGGACAGCAATGGCGCATGTGTGACTTACGATAAATCACATAATGTCCAGTCCAATAATATATCCATCAATGCTGCTGCCTCGCGCTCTGTCCTGTTCTCTCACTTCCCGCTACTTAGCAGTGGGTGTCAGGTTACATTGTGTTGCATTCAATGATGTCGGAAAACAGAGATTCATGCGCTTAATGTCCGATTGGCCATAACTATTTATTGAATTCATTGTCGCTAGCTGGGGTGGCAACAGAGGTGGCGAGGCTCTCGTTTGGGGTGGCAACTGCCACCCCATGTCACCCCAGTAGATCCGCCCCTGGTTTCTGACATCTTGAAAACCAACTAAACCATGAACTCAGCCGTTCTCTTCCAAACTTTGGCCCAATCTGACCAGAATGTTTCTCACGTAGCTTTGATGTGACAGAACAATTTAAAGTAATGAAATGTGAAAATTAGTAAATTCACATTAAGCCTCCTGAGGCAGAACGTTTTAAAACCTTTGTTTATCTGGTTTATCTCTACCATTAGCTTAGCAATTTAGCTTTTATTCAAAATTTGAAGACATTTCGTCCACTAAAGTTCAACTAGATAATTTTTCTGATTAAGTCTAAAATTTAATTTAGTTTGCTAGTTTGTAAAGTTTTAGTTTAATGAAGTTTGACATCTGAGTTGAAGTTTTGGTTAGCAACTGTAAAAATTCTTCTTTAGTCTAGCCTCTGCTAATTATTATATTGGTATATCACTTTACTGTTAGCCTCTGCTAGTTACCATGTTGCTGCAGCATTTTAGCGTTTGCTAAACTAATGCTTATGGTTAGTTAGTGCAGGATTAGTGTAGCTAGGTTTTTAGCACACTACTGGTCCCTGGTCTCTACCGAGATCTCTTTAGATGGAGAACATCTGTAAACATCTGTTATGGTTTCCTCATGTTAGAGCTCAGATTAAAGCTCTTCATTAACCAGAGGACCACTGAACTGCAGCAGCCACCTAGGATGGTCTTACGTCTCGTTCAGGTGGTGGATGATGGTGATAACCAAGCCCAGGATGGAGAAAGACAGACCCACGATGGAGAGCACACCCAGGGCTTCTGCGTACTCATAGTCCTCTCTGAAAGACTGAAACAAATCTCTTCAGAACCTTAAATCCTGCAAGAAACGCTGGACTGTTCTGGTTCTGGAGTGTGGAAATCACCCAGAGAGCTGCAAAGTTGGTGGTGTGGTTGCAGGAACACCTGAGAACTCCGTCTGAAGCATTCCCCTTGTGGCAGCCGTGGGTGTTCCAGTCCTGCTCGCCGTAGTCCCAGAAGACGCAGGAGAAGTCGTGCAGAGATGTTTTATTCGGCAGCTGGAACAGCAGGAACCAGAACCTCCTTCACACATCTGCTGATCCCAGTAAAGATGATGAAGTGGTTTTGGTTTTCGTACCGTTACTCTGAACTGCATCTCCACAGTCTCCGCCACCACGCTGCGGTCTGGACCCCCGATGCTGGCTGACAGGACCCTGAGGCTGGCCCGCCGCCTCCTGTAGATCCTCGACGGGAAGAAGTGGCTGTTCTGGTAGAGGACGAAGCCCAGAGAGACGTTGGACCCCTCCTGGCGCCTTTCAGCCCCCCTGCCTGATGGTAGAGGAACAAATCTAGGGTCAGCTGTTGCTAGCAGGAGGTTATATGTCCTCTGATGCTGGGAACCCACCTGATGGGAAGCGGATATAAACCAGAGCATCAGCGATAAAACCATTGTCCACTGTGACCTTTGACACGTTGGTGTTCAGCCGAATTCTGTTGGCTACAAAATTGCCAGTCTGCCCTGAATGCAGCGAGAAGTTTGAGTGGGTCCATAGTCACCAAGTTGGCTCAAAGGAAGGAGTTGTTAATGAAAATTAGAGGTAATAAAACATTTCTGGCTACATTTATCACCACTCTAACCAGAATCATCAAACCTCCAGGC